ATATTTTGTTGTGAGAGAGAGAGAGAGAGAGAGAGAGAGAGAGAGAGAGAGAGAGAGAGAGAGAGAGAGATTCATCATCTACCATATTTTGTTAGAGAGAGAGAGAGAGAGAGAGAGAGAGAGAGAGAGAGAGAGAGAGAGAGATTCATCATCTACCATATTTTGTTTGAGAATCCCTCAATTTTATCGTAAGTTTGTAATAGAAATTTCGTGAGGAGTTGGGCTGACTGCATTGAGTGGGGCAGCTATGGTGATGACATCAACTGTGAACATTGTCCGTGATTACCCTCCTCTGCCCACGAGTGTGCAGCAGACATGTCATTCCAAAATAACTGCGAGAAAGAACATTTCCATTTCCAGTAGCAAAGAACGAGGGATGCTACCATCGTTTCAAATCGTCGATTGAAGGAAGATATAATTATTAATTAGTCGTCGACTCTCCACACCTTAGAGAAAGCGATTGCCGACACGTCGAAAATGATATGATGTGTTTCATTGGATTGTCCGCAGATTCTCTAAGCCAAGTTTGGACTGGCCAAAGTGTGTTGATGTCACCTGGTGGATGTGGGCCGGTTCCGCCGACGCCGCCAGCATTTTACGGCCATCCTTTTGCATCGTACACAGGGGGCGAGTCTGGGGCACAACGTTCGTACGCCTCAGATGGCAGTTACGTTGCGCTGGCGGAGGGCGAAGGTGGGAAATATGAACGCATACTCCCATGTTGCGGCTGTGGCATCGGCTGGACTCTGTAAGCATACAGCTCTCCGTGACTACTTCCTTTTTTCTTTTTCTTCTTTTCTCTCTCTCAATTTCAATGCTTGGCGCCCTGTGTGCTGTTCTTTTACATTCTGCTGTGTTCTTTGCAATGCTGCTAATGCCACATCTTCTGGACAGTTGTGTCCTTCGACACCTACTTAGATCATTTTCCTTATGAATCATTTGCAGATAGCGGACTACGCGGATCATTTGCTGACAGTTTATGATTCTGAAAACACTCCCAGAATCAGAAGAGAAATCAACAGTTGGTACGCCCATGAACTTTTGAAAAATACACACCCGAGTTCGAATCCAGATGCAATTAGATAAACACGACACGATGTAAGACAATGTATGCCACACGTGTTTCCGATAGTTCTTACGTCTTTGCCAGCTACCCTTCAACCGCCACGATCTCCGAGCCTCTTTTCGCTGACGTTGGAAAAGAAGAACTGCACGCCAAGCTTTGTCGAAGGGACAGCACAACTTTTTTTTTTTCTTCTTTTGGCTGGTGCAGCAAGGTATTTGGTCCGGTGGCACCTGGCCTCCAAAGAAGAACGCGGTATAAGGTTATATATGGCATTCTAAGGAGGTCTCGACTTTGCCCATGAAAGGTAGTGGTGGTTTAAACTTCAAAATAGAATCCAGTATGGACTATGGATACATCGTACGGCACCTGAACTCCATTTTTTTCCCTCCCAACTTCCTCCGTAGGGTATCGTCTCCGAGAGAGGCGTAGCGGAGGTGGGTGGTATTTTGATACATGATAGCTGTGAGCCTGTGTGAGCCAGTAGCAGCATGGTGAACACAGCCTCTGGTCAACGTCAACGTATTGTCCAGAGGGTGTGTTCACCATGAGGCTGTGTTCACCATGCTGCTACTGCCTAAACTGGCTTTACTCACCGCGCCCTGGATTCCTTGCTGTGACGAGAACTTTCCTGCTCGCAGTACTAAGAACATGTTCGGACAGGCTGTTTAAACTCGCATGCCCGGACCTGGACATTCTGTCGCTTTTGGATGATCGTCAGGAAAAAGTTGAGATTGTACACAAGCAAGTGATAGACTAACATGATATGATGAAATCGACCTGTGGAAGGGAGAGAGGGCCTGGAAGAAGTATAGCACAGCACAGCTGTGCAGAAAAAGAAGGTTCGGAACCTCCTCTTGCCCATGTAACAAAGTCCTCCGACGCCCCGATGTTGGAATTACGACAGGGTGGTGGAGAAGATGCGGGGTGAGTAAAACCAGGCAGGCCTCCCCTGACCTTGCAATTGTGGCTGTAATCTCTCTCTCTCTCTCTCTCTCTCTCTCTCTCTCTCTCTCTCTCTCTCTCTCTCTCTCTNCTCTCTCTCTCTCTCTCTCTCTCTCTCTCTCTCTCTCTCTCTCTCTCTCTCTCTCTCTCTCTCTCTCTCTCTCTCCACACACACACACACACACACATTCACTCTGAGCACGGGCTCCACTTTGATTTGTTCAGGAGTACAAAGCATACAATCCAGAACATAACTTTAACTCACTTCTTTGAAAGTTGTAAGCTGATCCGATAGAGCCGAGGGACAAGAAGCAATCGGGGATATAAGCGGAAAACAGAGGAAGAATTGAGGATCCTCACCCAAGATCTCATTGAGAGGGGCATTAGGGCTGTTCTAACCCTGGCAGTTTACAATGCCATAAGAAGCAGTCTAGTCTGGTGGGCAACTGCCACAAGAAGAGAATGGAGGACAGAAGGACCGGAGGCAGCACCGGAGATAGTCAGGGAGAAAATGACAAGGGAAGGACTGGGTGAGGGAGCAAGCTCTTCGGTGGACTTCCTCTCGTTGTTGCAAGAAAGAAAAAGAGCCACCATCTCTCTCTCTCTCTCTCTCTCTCTCTCTCTCTCTCTCTCTCTCTCTCTCTCTCTCTCTCTCTCTCTCTCTCTCCCCTTTCTCTCTCACTCCTGCTGACCAGTGAAAGCCACCGTCTTGGACTGATGGTGAACGGCAAGTAGCCTGAAGGAGAAGACCGGCTATGATCGGTGGCAGACCTCCAAGCTATGGCACCAGTTTAGGGGACCACTCCACTGCACCTGTCCTGCACGTACCTCTCAGCACTACTCTACTCTACTGCTACCCTCTTCACCCGAATAAGATGCTGGTCATTATCGTTGCATCTGGTCTTGAAGTTGCCCCAAATACAGCTATAACGACCTGACGTTCTATCCGGGTGAGAAGACGGGTAGGCTGTCCACTCGCCACTCCAGCAGCCTGGTGGCAATGTGTGAACAAACCGACCTCGGTACTGGCCCAGACTCTAGCTGGTCTCTCTCCAAGGTCGTCAGATCCAACTCTGATCCAACGGCCGGGAACAGAGGCCTAGGTCCCCACTGTCTAGCCCAGTTCCAAAAATGCATGGCCTGGGTCCCTACCGATGTCCAGGTTCAACCTCACTAGCTGCAGGACCTGGCCTGAAAACCTGGTGTGATGAACTATAAGATGAACAGCAGCCCAGCGACAAACAGACAAGCTTAGCTGGGTCAAAAAAGACGAACCAGTGCCTCTCTGGACATATCAACTGGAATGATACTTGTCAGGACCAGGATGGAAACCGAACTGGTACATACAACATGCAGAGAAAATAAAATACCAAATAAATTGAAATTATTTAATAAAATAAATAAAATGTAGTCAGAAGTTCGGAACAGACAAAGCGTCCATCTTTCTTTCATGCTAGGTTCCTGATGTTGACTTCACATCTTTGTCATTTCATTTTGAGGTGCAGCTTGGCGTTCTACCTTCTTCCCCCGAACACTACGTAACGCACGGTCATTATAGCTGTATAGAGTCTATAGACTGAAAGAGACCCCTTTGGAGGTGCAGCGTGGCGTTCTACCTTCTTCCCCCGAATACAATGTAACGTACGGTCATTATGGCTGTGTATATAGACTGAAAGCTACCCCAAATACACAGCGATAACGACCATACGTTCGATTCGGGGGACGAAGGTAGTCCACTTATAAATCCTTTTGGTCTAGTCTGGCGTCCTGACCCAGCTTAGTTTTTAAACCCCTCACTTCTGGAGTGCCTCTTATAGGCCATATTCTACAGCTCAGGTTGGCATGTATGCTCTCCCCTTGGCCCACTTTTCCTCTCTCCTGTTTTTAATGCTTTTTTGTACTCTATCGTCTGACTGCTAACATTTGTAGTATTTGTCATTCGACTGGCAGCATGCTGGTCAAGTTGCTGCTCAATTATTCTGAGTAATATTCCCTGCTGCAGTTTGACTGGCCAGTAGAGTCCTCAGAGGAGCAGATTTTCCGAAACTCGTTAAACCACCAGTCTATCCGCATGCGGCACTTAGATTTTACGAGTTTCCAAAAATCCGATTTTACTCGTATACGAGTGCCGGGCCAAAATCTACAGTGCCCAGGTCCGGTAGAGGCTTGGCGGGAAGGGGCAACTGTTTTTTTTTTTTT